ATGAGGAACCTAACTGAAACACTCGTGTGCGGACCCTAATAGACCTGTCACGTAAGCCCTTAGAGCTTCGGTCTCGTTTTTTTGTTCGTTGGTGTGTTGGATATCTGTCGGCCATTCCTAATGGCACCCAATAAAAAAGACGGAAGAATGACAACACCTGCTGAAGGTGCCCAACTTGAGCAGGCAGCAGCTGTCCAGTAAAGTATGGATACTTTTCCCACTATCGAGAGGAGGCCCCATGTACCCCCATCTTACACCCACCTGGCGGGTGGTTTTATTGGTAAATCGCCCTCCTTCTAGATGAAGTCACCTGTGGTCTAAGGGAACCAGTTGCATAATAAGCTGGCCCATGTGTTCCCCCCCCTTTTTTGTTCAAACATCTGAATCCAAACTGTGCTAAACAAATCATGGTACAATAATCTCTATAAAAAGAAAAAAGTTCTATGATTTGCATGTGGGCGGAATACTATCAGGTTACCCAGGCCAATACCGGTGAATTTTCTTGAGAAATCCACAACCGAAGCCTTCGGCTAGCCAAAGCCTGACCCGCAAGGCAACGGGACGGTGTGTGGAAACCGCAATCCATTGGAGGCGGTGTCCAGTTCATTGGATCATACGCCCTTTGGACGAGGTCAAACGTCCAAGGTGCCCAATATACCTATATGCCCAATTGAGCCGGTGAATACTGCCGTCGGGATACACTGAGTTTGAACGTCGCGAAAGTCCCTGTGGGTCGTTTACGTGCACTACAGACAGGAGCGAATTGAGGATGTAATCTTGAGATACTCTTAGTGAATAACTTCTGGGTAATATGGACATGAAAATTCTTGTCAGTTAAGAGAACTTTTAGCCACCCCAGATGTTCACCAACTCCGGCGCCAGTCAGCTCTCCTGGTAGTCGGACGGTTTGCTGAAGTTCACTAAGATTGTCTGTTGCATGCCATTTGGCTTCATGCATCCTTGTGTCAGCGATAAATTGAGCATATGGATCAACGTTCAATCGCCAATGCCTTTAGAATCAACCGGTTACGATGAGATTTCGTCGTGATAAAATTTCGAGTGGCACTTGGCGATCTAGCACAAACCATTGCCAACCGTATTGTTTCTGATGGATTGATGAGCTACCGGTGCGGTTTCTGTATTGGTTAAGTGTTGATTATATAGAGAGAAGATGTGTTCTATTTTGTGGCATGATATCCGCTTACGGAACTGCAATCTTTGGAATTTTTGGAGATATTGGATATTCATCTGTTGATTGGGCGAGTGCTTTTGAAAACTTCAATGTGTATGCCACTGATTGGAGAAGATTATCAATTGTTTATTGGTACCTGTCCGCTGTGCCGCTCACTGAGCGCAACTTAGTCACTAGGCTAAAAGTACATCCATGAAAATAATGAAGCGATGCAAAACCAATCAGTTACCCTGGAAACATTATGATTTGCAATCATTCTATATCCTAATTTTTTCAGCTTAGTTTTTCGTTTATTTTCAATTTAATCAGATGTATAGCCCAAAGACAGTCACCTGGATCTAAGTTAGAAAGTGCAACTGCATCTGTTATTCCAATTGAACAAAAATGATTGGACTCCTGCGTTTTGAGGACATGAACACTGACCAGAGCTAAATGTAATGAACGATTGCGTGCAATGGATGGTTCTTTTACTAATCAGTTTTTTTTATTCAATCAATTTTATTAGGAATGGCTTTGGTACTCTAATGTTGCACCCGTGTTTGTTTGTTTCACATATACTGTGGTGTGGCAGTTCTGAATTGTTTAGATTGCTCCATGTTTCTTCGGAACTCGTGTCTTTTCAATTTGTGCTTATATCATTATTTACTCATCCGCGTATCCCTTCCTCCTTTGCTTCTCCAGTTGAATCTTCCGCATCTAAGTCAGCGACGAATCAGCATGGTGAAATATTTGGGCTTGTTGTACAATTACTGCCTAGTCGATTCACCGGTCATTTTCAAGACACTCTACTCATTGCTCACCTTTGGCGTGAGCCTGGATAGTAAGTGTTTTATACTTCTATTCGATCCTCGTATTGTGTATTCATTCTGTCCACACTTCGAAATTAGAAGAAACTCCGGAAGGACAGTACAACGCATCCTTCGTCTGATGTAACATTCTAGGCCCTAGAATAGATGGCGCAGTGGTTTAGTCGTTGACAGCGCGTGCTCCAGACCCTTTGGTCAGAGTTTCGAGCCCTGTCATTGCCATCCAACGTTGCTGCCGTCCGATTCAATACCACGCCTAACCTGACGAGGCCTTATTTGGTTCCTCACTCCAAGTCCCGCGGCTTAGGTTGCCCGTTTCCATCACTGAATAACAGGTCTACGTGACTCTAGGGTGCACCACGTCTGTAGTTCATCACACAAAATGTGTAATAAAAAAGGTGATTTAAAACTTTTAACGGTTTTGGATATTGTGTGCGCAATCCTTCGGTGATGTTCAAGAGGTTGAGGTCACTGTCTCTAGTGTACCGTCCGTTCCAACCTTGATACCGCAAGCTAACTTTGATCGCTGGAAGCTCCACTGTCGACCGGCTGGATACCAACTTATTCGAATCAGGCTGTATAAAGTTAGAGACCTTGCAAATAATAGTTCTTGTCGGTGCCTATAAAATTCCCCTTACAAGTTTTCGTTAATATTAGGCTGCTGTTGTTGTCCAGCAATCAACAATGTGTGATTAAAAAAATCGCACATTTCTGTCTACAATATCTTTCCAAAAACGTCCTTTTAGGTTGATAATGTGTTTCTTAATGTTTTGTAAGTTTCCATATCCAAATATTAGCTTTATATCCATCAGGGTGATTAATTTTTATCACATTTTTTAATCAAACTGTACTTAGTGGGCTGTTCTTTGCTACACCGCCACAGATAATATCATCAGCATTTTGGATCCACCCGATTCGCTTTTCCGCATTACGTTGATATGCACGTTATTGGACACTTCCGGTGAATTCTTCGATCGTGGGAAGAAACGACGCAAATTAAATATTTTCTTGGTTTACTTCCAAGTAAGTGACTGTTTCTTTGTTGAAACATTTGGATCCCGTAATGAATTTGAACAGGCAAGTCAGAACCAATCCCGTGCAGCACACACACATGGGTAATACTAACTAGATTTCTTAATTCGCTTCATCTGTCTATCCTGTTAGATGTTATACGTACGCAACCGATGAGAGTATACGAAACGAATTCCCTTCGTAGTGTTTTTTAATTTTTTGATATACTAACTTCATGTATATGCTCACGTAACTCCTTAATGTATTTAACTAATCGGGACTATTTGTTGTGTTGTTTAGAGTTGATTTTTGTTCGATATGTGAGTAACTTTGTTCATTCATATGATTTATTTATCGCCCTCAACCACTTAGCGGAGTTAGGCATCATGCCCATTCTCGGTTATAGTTTGTGGCACAGCTCAATCGCCCAGAACTGAGGGACGGGTTTTATTCTCACCCCAAGTCATCTTTGGGATAGCGTTACTCACAGGGCATCCGATCGTCGTTATGTTCTTGGTCTGTTTTCTTGCCAATGTCCTCTCAGTCAGACAATGTCCTTTACCGCGGGGATCCCACGGTCACGAGTGTATACTGCATTCGATCACTCATTTCGCTGTAAGGTCGTCGCAACCACTCAACCTCAACCAATCATCAGTGTGAACACTTCAACGAGCAGTCTTTATTATCTTCTCACTTCAGCTCAGTTCGGTTTTTGTAACTGGTATCTTTGTATTTTGGGGATCTGGTTCCGGTATCTATCTTCTCTTTACCCATCTGACTGACCAATTGTTAGGTTGGGAATAAAGAGAAGGCCCCAAGGAAAAGTTAAAGAGATAAAAGTAGAAAATACGAACAAAACATGTGTGAAGAACGGCTGTCTCCATTAGATTGGCCCCCAGGACTCGATCCGAGAAGTCTAACATGACATGATCAGGTACAGCGATCTGTTCAGCACTAATGTGCCAACCGTTGTTGTAGCACTCAACTAGTCACAATAAATTCACAATGACCAAATTTTTGACGAGAAGTTATGTGAAATAAAAGAGGGGTACCACAGATGGTAGTCGACTGCAAGCAAACACTGCAGAATTCGGCCCCTGATTTGTGCTGGATTTGTACTCTTTTCTGCATTTTTTTCGTGACGACATACATTTCTATCTTTGTTGTAATGAGTTAATACCGCTTATCGCTTTTCAAAACTATGTTTGCTGGGCGGCGCTATACAGCGAATTGCCGCAACTAATACGGCTTAACTCCTTTGATTTGCATTATTCGACCAGTGCTGTCGCGAGTTTAATCATACCTAGTTGTTCAACTTGGAAACTAAAGCTTTCAAATTGATCCCAGTATGAAAAGCAGTCACTGTGCTTGCGGTATTCGAAACAAAACTTTGTTATACGAATTAGGTGTAAGTTCGCGGGAATCTGTTGCATCTCTACGGCACATGTCCCGATTGTTCAAATCGGTACCACTCCATAAGTAACAATCTCCTTACGTGACATTGTATTTTTTATACTTCACACGCGTCTGAATCCAGACTGTGTACTAAACAAATCATGGTACAATAATCTCTATAAAAAGAAAAAAGTTCTATGATTTGCATGTGGGCGGAATACTATCAGGTTACCCAGGCCAATACCGGTGAATTTTCTTGAGAAATCCACAACCGAAGCCTTCGGCTAGCCAAAGCCTGACCCGCAAGGCAACGGGACGGTGTGTGGAAACCGCAATCCATTGGAGGCGGTGTCCAGTTCATTGGATCATACGCCCTTTGGACGAGGTCAAACGTCCAAGGTGCCCAATCGAGCCGGTGGGAACACACCGCCACGAGAAGACAGTGAGTAGGGACTTCCTCAGCAGAGGCTCTTAGAGACGCTTGGTCGTATAGGAGCATTTCGTGAGATGCAAGGGAATGGTGACTAACCGCAACCCTAGACACCCGACCGTACGGAACCCTTTGGAACGTGCGTGAAATTGTGGACCTCTCAGAAATTTCTCCTTGCAAAAGAATAAGAAATTTGCTATTTCTAATTTACTTGCATCTTAGGAACTTTAATCAAATGGGATCATTATGGTCACATTACGATGCTCACCAACAACGACTAGGAAAATTCTGAAAACCATCAGTCTACCACATTTAGAAGAAAACATTAGTAAATAACATCAGAATTTGGTTTCCTTGATAGAGTGGTGTATGCACGACTGTATTGGATTTTTCTAAGTTCCTCGAGGAGTGCAAGAACTCACTGTATAAACTCTTCCCATCTTTCACAGCGATACTACTGGTTTAAGCGATCACAACCAATCTGGGAACAACCTGCAAGTTCAAAATCTATTAAATCGAATCCACCTGATCCAGAGCCAGTCGAGCCAAACGCAAACCAGTCATTGTCCAGCGCTTCCGCTAATGGTCTACCAAACACTTCGGGAGAAACCGCTTCAAAAGGTGAGGAGCAGCAACCAGGTGAGAGCGGTTTTGATGCATCTGGCAGCACGCAATCGGATAAAATACCAGTCTTCCAGCCCATCCCGTTCCCATCCGCGGTAGAACAACTGTACACGGAAACCTTGGCACAATTGCGTATCAAAGTGTTCAGGGCGAAGAATCTGGCTCAAGCCGTGAGTCTTGTAAATCGTCTGGAGACGCGGTATTTACCACGTCTGGCTCGATTGAAAGCTACCTACGGTCTAGTAGAAGACACTCCGGGCAACACTGCAGACGAAGGAGCGTCAAACCAAACCGCACGAGCCACTGGACCGGGAAGGATGGATCCTATAGCGGAAGAGAATGAACAAAATGNTGCGTGTGTGTGTAAATTGTTTTCTCTACTGGTCATTATTCATCACTCACAGTCTACTTCCTGATACCACAAACCTAATATACTAAAATGGCCTCTCTTTTAGTGTTGACACACCCAGTTTGTTGCACTCCGTCCCCCGTTTCCTTCCACAACTTTCAATTCGTTTGCTTTCGATAGTTCCACTTCCCTTACCTCAAACCGATGATCTATTGATCCTTTGTGGTTGTCTTATGCTTTTTTAAAGAGATCCAAATGGACGATGATGACTATGTGGTGGATGAGGATGATGACGAAGATGATGATGACGAGGATGATGACGATGAGGATGACGGAGAGCGTGAAGATGGTGCTGGTGGTGGTGGACGTCGAAACTGGCGTCGCATGCAGACGGAACAACCCGAACCTGACGGGATTCGTCGACGAAGTGCTCAACAAGAGCAACAGTTAGCCACAGCCAATCACCAGGACCAGTTACCCGATGGTGATTCGGTAAGTGTTTGGCGGTATCGGAGTATGCTGCTTTGTGTTACCCACATAGCTGCCTTCTGCTAAGCCTCAAGGCAGCGCGACGGTGTTTGAATACCACAGTCTATTAGGGGCTGTTGTCCATTTTGTTGGAACATGCATCCTCAGGACAGCGTCCAGGCTTTCCGTGGTGTACACCCTGGTAACGGAGGATTAACACCGCTATTCTTTTTTGTCTCTTTTAGAACAAATTGAATTAATGTTCTCTGTAGAGCAATGCTCTCCTTGGAGTGGTTGAGTTTTATTTCGGTGCATGATATCAATGTAGCTCCTGCGCTTGTGTTCTTCCACAAAATCATCATTGGTGGAAGTACCAAGGGGCATCAGACGCGACTCTGTTGCATCCAATTATCATCACCATCATCATTGCATAGTGAAATACAGTAGAGCGAACTTCACTGATCGCTGCCAAACTTATAATCCATACAAGTGAGAATGTGTAAGGAAGATAGGGATTGGGCCTATTATGAGGGACGAGAAAAGATAGCGAACCTCTTTGGTCAACACATGGGATAAACAGTTCAACTGTGCATACATGCTATTTCAAGGATTCTGGTCTGATAAGAAGTGACAGCACGATCGCCGTTGCTGCCTGTTCGCAGCCATGACCTCCAGTATCTCTAACCATGCGGCTACGGAGTCTTTCGAACCCCAACCCGGAAAACGAGGGATACCTGCTTTACATTATGTCTTCCATCACGACGAGACTGCACCTTGACGTAGTGTAATCGCTCGCGTGCCACCGTGACCCTGAGAGATACCCGATGGTTCCCACAGCCGTGGATTCAATCGTGCCTGAAAGGTCAATGGGTGGATGCCAGATAAAGCTCAATTTCACAAAGCCCGCTGCTTGGGCATCTGCTGACTTCCTTCGTCTATCTACACCGGCCCCTGGAGAGGTCACTCCAGCAAATAAACACGATGAGAGGCAGTTTATCGGTCGAAAATTCCCGGCTAGATCGACGTAGGAGCGGGATACCTGGGGCTTCCTCTCGACGGTGGGAAAAGTCTTCGCATTTCATTGGACAGCTACCGCCCGCCCAAGCTGAGCAACCCCAGCCAATAAGGTGCTGTCCCGTCCACGTTTCGCTTGTCTCATTGAGTGCATGACACTAAGGGCCAATCCCGAACAGCAGACCAACAATCAACGCACCGGCGAACAACACAGTTAATCGATATTCAAAGCCGTTGTGTGACAGGTCTCCACAAGCTTCCACACGGGTGCTTCGTTCACGCTTCCGCGTTGATTCGGATGCTCCNGCGTTCTCAAAGGAAAACCCATAAATTTCCGCTGCCCTGCCGGACAGACCTTTGTGTCAAGGCTCCGGTTAGGGTTCTCAAAGAAAAGCCTCTCCGTCGTTGTGGACTGTTGCGAAGTATGTCGTGTACCCGATTGAAAAAAAACTCTTCCGTCTGTCTAGTTCTTCCTCTCAATCCCGAGTATTTGCAGATCCGTCCTGTTTACGAGACCCATCGAATATCACTCAGGGTTTCACCAGCAAGGCCAAATAATCAGAAGTAATAGGATCTTTGCAGCCCCAATTCCCTTTTCACTTAGCCGCGTTCAATGTGCGCACACTCAATCAGATTGATCGACAAGCTGCCTTGGCCAGAATCCTTGAAACTTTCCATTTAGATGTATGCTGTCTCCGAGCACGCATACAAGACCTCACCTCAATTATCTCCCTGCATTTACTTATTCTAACCTCACGTTTCACCCTTCGTGTGTCATGCGATTCGGCATCCGAAGCTCGCGGTGTTGCTGGTGTTAGGATTGCACTAAATGCCTAGACTGAGCGCTCGCTTCTTGATTAGATTCCAGTCAGTAGCCGACTGTGCGCTGTACGTCTCAATGGTTCAGCATGGATCAACAGCTACAGAACGAAGCGACGATGCTTATTCGTCGTATCGGTGTATGCATCCACCGATTGTAGTACACCTGAAATCAAGGATCAGTTCTATTAGGCCCTTTCTCAATTGCTCCAAAGTGCTCGATCAACGGACGTCTTAGTAGTTGCCGGAGACCTCAATGCTCAAGTGGGATACCTGGACGAATCAGAAAGGCTTCTCGGCGGACCACATGCAGTCAGAGTCAAACAAACGGACAACGGAGATCGCTTACGTGAACTCTGCGGTGACCACGGGTTGTGTCTGTCAAGCACCAACTTCTCGCACAAGAAACGACACCGCCTTACATGGAAACCGCCAATCTCTCTATAGCACTGGACCCCAATCGACCACATCGCCATCAGTTACCGCTAGAGGGGGTCGATTCAAAACTGCCGCTCTTACTGGTCAACACCTGTGGATACAGACCACCAGCCAAATTCTCTTAACGCCTGGAGAACAAAACAAGCCACCGACAACGGATACCCACGATACAATGTCAGCGATTGTTGCAAATCGGTCTTCGAAACGGAACTCTCCGACCGCCTGTCAGTTCAACCACCAGCCAAAGGACTCAATGAACGCTAAAGCCAATCAAGGAAGTTATGCAAATATCGATAAAAATAACGTCAGACTCAGGCGCATGCTCAAAATACAAACGATGGATCTCGTCGACCTCGGCTGCTCTGCTGGACGCTCGCGAAACCTTTCCTCGTGATGCCACCCACGACACAACGCGCAAATCCCTCAAACGCCAGCTTATCAGTAGTCTGAGGAATGACCGCGAGAAGTGGTGGGTAGAAAAGTGTAGGAAGATGGAAAAGGCTGCGGCTATCGTTAATAGTCGCAATCTTTCCCGTCTAATTAAGAAAATGGGCCCTAGAAAAATAGGCGTGAGGTAATTAAGGAATCCGATGTCACACTAATTCACCATCAGCAACGCCATCGTGATTGATAGGCTGAGCATTTCGAGGCTCAGTTCAACTGGCCCCCATCGACATCTGAACTATCACCCCCTCCCACCTAGACTGGGCAAATACTCCCAGTTGATGCGAGTCCTCCATCTGTTGTAGACCATAACAGGAGGTTTCCCAGGAAATATGCCATCATAAAGAGCATAAGGGCTCAGATGGGCTGTCTCGGTTTTTAGGGATGGAGGTTCAGCCTTGGTTTTGAAGTTAACGAAACTCGGGCTCAGTGTGGGAGAGGGAACAGGTTCCAATTGAATGGTGCTGATCGGTGGTCATACCGACTTACAAGAAAAGTGACAGGTCCTCTTGTTTAAACCACAGAGGAATTGGTTTAATCAACGTTGCCTCTAAACTTCTCGCTGGGATTATACTCCGTCGATTGTCTGCCGCACGTGAAGAATGGCCATTAAGAAAACAGGATAAAGACAGACCGTCGGTGTTTGAACACCGCTCTCTACGTCGCATTGCACGAGTCTGGTGAGGCAACCGGACGAGCA